AACCCCACCCCCCCCCCCCCCCCCCCCCCCCCCCCCCGCCTCACCCAGCACTGAGACAGCTTTGAGGACAGGTTTTTCAGAAATGGAAGACCTGCGTCTGTCTAATTCCTCTAGACAGAGTTATGCGACTGGGGTCGCACAGGTGGCTCTTCCACGGACACGTCCTCTGCCAGGGGTTGTAAACACTAGGTTTCTAGTTGACTTTGAGCTTTTTTTCCTGGCTCCTAGCTGTGTTCCCTTCCTTCCAGAGGCATAGAGCAAGCAGAGAACCTTCTGCCCGACTCGGCTTTTGTAAGAGATGCTTTTAGATAATAATCAGAGAGGAAACATACCTCAGAGGGCCTCTTTGTGTCTGGCTTGTTAAACATACACACAACAACCTTGGGCTGGCCCCGGAATGCTGGCACAAAGTGAGTGTGTTTTAAGGGCTCGTTTACTCCACGCTGGTTTATTTGGATTTCCCAAACAAACCCTTTCTTATAGTCATTGGCCTTGGAGTAACCAGGTATTCCCAGTGTTAACTGCTTGTAGAGAGGCCCAGGGCTTTGTTTCCTTTGGAAGAGGATTGAGGCATTGCAGCGAGAGAGTGGTGGCTTTCCAACTTCTTGTTGTATTGAAAAACATTGCGGAGAGTTGGCGGCCTTCCCTCGGACCTGCTATGAAGATTAATTATGTTGACATGGCTTGAGATTTCCATAACCTCAGTCTGGGGTCATGTGGTTAGAAGAAATGGCAGTCACTAAAGTCTCCTCAGCTTTGCTCTCCGGCTGTCTTTGCGTACAGGCACATACAGGCGCTTTGTATGTCGTATGGGGCTGGGAGGTCTGGTTATGAAATGGGCAAATGGCAGTGAGGTGGCTTCATGTGCAGGGGCTTCACTGCATAAGGGACACGTGCCCTTCCCTCCTTTGAGCTTGTAAAACAGAGCAGGCATTGAGCAGATAAAATGCTCCCACGGGGTAAAAGGTCTTATTGCTGTTGCTCCCGGACCATCTCCTGATGCAGCGAACCTTGAGCTGGCAAGAGCAGCTGAGGAAGCAGGAAGAAGGCTTACAAAGCTGCACTTCCTCAGCCTGGGAGCAGTTTCCTGTCCCTACACCGTAGTCAGGACACCTTTCCCGACAGCAGCTTTCCACAGGGTAGCTGAACGGCTCCTCAGAACTGGGAAAGGTGGATGAGGAGCCTGTAAAATAAGCTCTGTGTGTGTTAGGGGGCGGGGAGCCCTGAAAGGAAATATGAAGCTGGGAATTCCCTCTTGGGTCTCAGCAGTGCTTAAATGTGGAACCATGAGAAACTGGTTCTGAGTACACAGTGGGTATGCCAGTTCCTGAGGGGACTGGAGACAGACGGTCAGAGTGTGAGACGGTCAGAGTGTGAGAACTCCTGGTTTCCTTCTCGAAGAGGGAAGGGATAGGAAGAGGGGAGGGTGAGAGAGCTCAAACAATCACCTTACATTGGGAGTATATAATTATTGATATAATTATTGATTTAGTATACAATGACGCAAGGGCTGGTTTCAGCAGAGAGACGGTTGGAGTCATGTGACCTGCCAATTTTCTTCTGGAATTAGAGTAACTCTGTCCATCGAGCAGGGTTAAAGGGCCAGGGAAGCCTAATGCTGTCTTCCTAGTGTATCTCAGGAGGACTTCCTGTTTGAAAGACTTCATATGATGTGAGTGTATTACAAGGGTTACATAGCGCATAAGCAACACAGAAATGGTTTCTCCGGCTGGAGAGATGGCTTGGAGGTTAAGAGCACTGACTGTTCTTCCAGAGGTCCTGAGTTCAATTCCCAGCGACTACATGATAGTTCACAACCATCTATAGTGAGATCTGGTGCCCTTTTCTGCTTTGCAGGCATACATGGATGCAGAATGTTGCATATATAATACATAAATAAATCTTTTTTAAAAAAGGAAGAAAAGAAGTGGTTTCTATCCTTCCTTGAGCACAGAGCACCACAGGATGGCCGTTTGTCTGGCCACACCAGGAATGTAGCAGAAGTGAGGGTGACGGGATTGGATTGCTTCAGATTGCCCTCCTTTGCCCTGAGCATGCGAAGAAGCCCCACCGTGCATGGGCAGAATACTTTGTGGTTGTCCTAGTGACTGCTGTCATTCTTGATGTTGCAGCAAGAAGTCCAGACTTTCTTTGTCATCATTGCGTTGATCTCTGTGCCGTGGATGCTTCTGATCAAGCCGTTTCTCCTCAGAGCCAAACACCAGAAATCTCAGGTACGCGCTTTCTTTCAGTTAGCCCACTGTGGGTCACAGCACACTCTCCTGGAAATGGAACTCTGGGATGGGGAGAGAGTGGTGGGTTTCCCTGCGAGGCCTGGAGGGCAAGGCTGGCCTCAAGCGTGTGTTCTTCTGTGGAGTCCCACAGGGGTCCCTTTACTTCCAGCACGATGTCCTCCCTTTCTCAGACATGGTGAGTCTGAAGTTCCTCAGACTCCGCTCAGGGTGTGTGTATCCTATCCTGTTGTCCTTGAAGGTTTAGAAGCTTTATAAGCATTCAGACTGGTTGCTTTGTTGGTTAGACATGGGAGAATTTTATACTTTATATTTTGTTTTTCAAAGACAGAATCTCACTACATAGCCTTGGCTGGTCTGGCATTCATTATGTAGCTCAGGCTAGCTTAATTCAAAGCAACCTCTCTTGCATCTGCACCCCTAGTGCTAGAATTACAGGCATACATCATTATTCCCTCCTCAGATAATTGCAAGTTGCTCTTTGTGAATTTTCTAAGGCTGTAATTTCACTCCCTTAGAATGTTGCTCTTAGGAAATTCCCATAGTAGGCACATTCAAAAATCTAGTTTTAATTTAGAATAACTTCCTCCTATTGCTAAATTAAATATCAATTCCAGTTGATTTCTTTCTTTTTCTTCCTAAACTGCCTGAGGCCTCAGATTTACACAGGGAGCATTGTAACCTAAGCAAATAGGATTTAGGGAGATTACGCCCTCCCAGGGAACACTGGGGTCCAGCTATACTGAGATGACCCCCTGCTTTCTTCTTTTAGTGCAGAAGACACAGCAGCCTGCTTTGAGATTGTGAATGCTTTAAATGACTGTAGGCATTAAACTCTACTTCTCTAAGGTGTAAGGTAGAGATTAACCCCAACTATCGTTCCTGTGGGGCCTGGAAAAAGAGAATGACGTAACCAAAAAGCCAAAACAATTATAACATGACTGATGAGAGCACATGGTTAACCTTGAGTGAAGCCCTTTATTTTGCTAATACTTTAATGCTGTCTTGGTCTCCTTGCTTGTCAACAGCTGCAGTCTTTCACGATCCACGAGGATGACATTGAGGGTGGCCACTCGAGCGCCTCTGCTCAGAAGAAGACGGCGGGGACTAAGGGTGACCACGAGGAGGAGGTATCTGAGACCAGAGCACCAAAGGCTGACTTCTCAGTTTGCACCAAATCTAGAACTGGAATATAATCTTGATAGTCATGGGGTGTAGCATGAACTCAGGCACGAGCTGGAGGGTTTGCTGCCCTCAGCCTGGTGGCTCCTGAGTTAGCAGGTTCAAGAAAGCCTAGGGCAGGCGCTGGGGGTGCATGCCTTTAACCCCAGCACTCAGAACCCTTGACGTTTGCTGGCAAGAGCCTTCAGCCGTTAGATTACTGGGTGAGGGGTCCCTTTTCCTTCCATAACTTCCCCTTTCTATCCTGCCCCAGGACAACTATGACTGATGATAATCTACGACCTAGCTTGTTTTTTTAAAAAAGATTTTATTAATTTATTATGTATACAATATTCTGCCTGCAGGTAGACAGGCAAGCCAGAAGAGGGCACCAGATCATTACAGATGTTTGTGAGCCACCATGTGGGTGCTGGGAACTGTGCTCAGGACCTCTGGAAGAACAGCCAGTAGCCAGTGCTCTTAACTGCTAAGCCAGCTCTCCAGCCCTATGATCTAGTTTGTTACTGACATGGAAGATAGACAGTCAAAGCCTGCAGTTACCGTGATTTGATGAACATTTGTTACATAACATGCATTGATATATATTGTACCCCACAAATGTGTAGTTATTGCTGTAATAAAAAAGGCAATTAACGTCCTCATTGTAAAAGGAGGAGAGAAGGGAGAAAAAAAAACCCTAATGAAACGATACCAAAAATTCTGTTACAGTTCAACTTTGGAGACATCTTTGTCCACCAGGCCATTCATACCATCGAGTACTGCCTGGGCTGCATCTCCAACACAGCCTCGTATCTTCGTCTCTGGGCCCTCAGCTTGGCTCACGCAGGTGAGCGTGCAAGCCGGGAGGGGTGGGGCTGCCAATCATATCACCGGAGAAGAGACTCACTCTGTTCATGAGCAAGAATAAGGACTGCTTGATAGTCGTTACTTAATACTAGTATGATAACACTGTTTAATGTTTTTCTTGGATGTCTGTCCGGTCCTTAAGCAACTTACTATAATTTCCCATACTTCTGAAATTGCCTGAACAGAATCTTAACTTGAGCCTGGCATGACAAAATGCCCCATACGGGGTGGTTCCAGCCAGAAGCAGATTTTTTTTTCTCATAGTTCCAGAGCCTGGACGTTTGAGATGAGAGTGTCATTGTGGTGTCTAACGCACGCACGCACGCACGCACGCACGCTCAGAAGGGCGAGGGAGCGAAAGCGAGACCATGAGAGTGACTACGCTCTGAAATTCCCAATCCCACGGCTAAGGACCCCTCTCGTGTTTCCAGTCACCCCTCTCAGACCCTAGGCAAACAAACCACGCTTCATGCATTCTTTTAGGGTCAGCAATTTTGTGCCTGTCTCGTGTTGTTTGGAGTTGCTCCTTTTGCTGCCGATAGCCCTAGCTGGCTGCTCTTGGCGATCAGAGTGCGCAGGCGTTGTTGGACAGCCACCACTGCGAGCAAAGCTGTGTTGGTGGAGCTTCCGCTCGGCCTTCAGAGGGACTTTTGGGTTTGAGGTGATAGGATGGAAATGAGGGGTACTGAGCAGGCACACCTGCTGGCTGAGGATGTCCCATTTGCTCCCCTAGAGCTGTCCGAGGTGCTCTGGACCATGGTGATGAACATCGGCCTTCGCCTTCGGGGCTGGGGAGGGCTCATCGGGGTCTTCATCATTTTTGCCGTCTTCGCTGTCCTGACCGTCGCCATCCTCCTGATCATGGAGGGCCTCTCAGCCTTTCTGCATGCCCTCCGGCTGCACTGGTAAGAGCTGGGGGAAGGGCAGCCTGCGGGGCTGACGGGCTACACAGAGCCACAACTTAGCTCCATCTTCGGAACCTCGGTCTAGTCGTCTGTTTGCGTGCGTGATGTAACATATGTTCACACGCATGCATATGTGCTGATTGCCCTGGAACGTGGCTTTTTTTTTTTTTTTTTTTTCCTCTGTGTTTACTTGTTACAACAGTGGGCTTCAGAAGCAGTCAGGTGACAGATGTTAAGCGAATAGGCCTGCTTGGCTGTTGTGGTTGTTGAGGGCGGAAGTGGCAGCGTCAGAACAAGCCATGGGACTCTACAGAGGAAATGGAGGGTGCCACAGCAAGCCTGTGACATGCCCGGGACACACTGGGGCTTCCACTGTTAGGAAGCTTTTGATTTTTTTCATTTTGTGTGTATGAGTGTTTTGCCTGCATGTATGTCTGTACACCCTATGTCTGCATGGCCTGTGGAGGCCAGAAGAGGGCATCCAATCTCCTGGGACTGGAGTTGCACACACTTGTGAGCTGCCGTGTGGGTGCTGTGAATCGAACCCAGGTCCTCTGCAAGAGCAGTCAGTGCTCTTAGAGGCTGAGCCATTTCTCCAGCCCTCGGAAACACTTTTATGTTTACATACTGAGTGGAGAAAGCTGGAGCATCCCGTCTCCACGCTAATATTGCCCTCCACGGTGTGAAGTGTGCGCCTCCATAACGTCCCAGAACAGAAATGATCGTGGGTGGGACTGGTCATAGAATGACTTAAAAATGCAGGTCAAGCTCCTGCTCTGTCTGTACCTAGTATGGACCCCACAGCTGGGAGTCAGGGTGCAGGTGGAAAGACACGCATGACCTCATGAAGAGCTGCCGCCTTGTGCACTGTGGTCTTCAGACAGAGAGCATGGAGGGGAGGCATCCTTGGAGGTTGTGGGGGAGGTGTGTGCTGTGACCCGTGAAGCCTGAGGAAGAGAGGTGGGAGGAGGGGGCGTGGTAAGAGGGAGGCTTAAAAGGTCGCCTGGTTCCCATGGTGTTCTGGGCCTTGCTGCTACCCTGCAGCCTCCCACACTTCAGTCTGCTCTTTCCGCCCTTCCCCGTCACCACAGGGTGGAGTTCCAGAACAAGTTCTATGAGGGAGCTGGCTCCAAGTTCTCCCCCTTCTCCTTCAAGCTAGTCCTGGAAGGGGCTGCTGAGGAGTAGGCTCTTCTGCGTCCCGGGTGCTGATGCCAACTGAAGGACTTCCCTCTCGCCTCTGAGTCAGCCCAGGCCAGGAGTCCCACGCAGCAACCCTGTTGGCTACAGTGAAGTGAGAAGCTGTGTGAGGATTTGGCAGGATTTAACCACGTAACCCAAGGGCTACTTTTTATTTGGGACTTTATGTGCAGCCAAATGGTCAAATACTACAATAACTGGGAAATGGGGGAGGGGACACTAGACCACTATCTTGTACTACTTTATTTGTGTTTTACTTTGTATCTATTTTGAGACAAGGTCTCATTAGCTCTAACCGTTCTGGAAATAGCTGCGTAGCCTAGGGTGGCTTTGAGTTCTGACTCCCCCTGCCTCCACTTCCCCAGTGTTCAGATGTCAGGCACCAGCCAGCACACCTGGATCTCCTGCAGAATTTCAAGTATTATAATCATGAAAATAAATACTTGCTTTGTTCACTGTTTCTTTAAAATGTCTTTATTCAAGATTAATCCATGCCATAGAGCATCTACAGTTAGAGGCCAACACTGGATGATGGAATTACACAACCTAGTTCCTGGGACGGATCAGGTTTGTGTTTTCTCTGCATTTCCCCCTAGTCAGGGGCTTAGCATTACAAGCTTAGGGACTTCCTCAAACATTGGCACTCCTACCAGAAGCACAGCCAATGCCCTCTGTGTAGAGGGAGGCCCAGGCCTGGCCTGGCTCTCTGCATCACTAAGTCCTGAGAATGAAACCTGACAACCTGACGTCATTCCTGGGCACTGCTTATTGTCGCCACGCTGGGCTGGAGTGACTGGGGAAGGAGATGCAGAGGCTTGGCCAGGTTCTGGGAACCAGCGTACAGGGAAGGAGACTGCCTCATGGTTGGGTTCCTTATCCTTTGGGTCCGAGAGCCCCGAGCCAATTTCTTAGGTTGCCTGGACTGGAGATCCCCCAAGCACCTGAGGAGATTCATCCTGTGGGTTGTTTCGTCTGAATGGCCTGAGTCCAGGTGAAATGCCATCTCTATTACTATTTTTGTGTGCTTCACGATTGACTAAGTCCTTTCTACCTAAAGAGCCCATTAGATTCAAATGTGTTTGCATGTATGAGTGCAGGCACATGTATACCATAGCACACATGGAGATCAATGGACATCTTTCCTTGTCATTGTGTGCACCAGCCTAGCTGGGCAGTGAGCTCCCAGGGATGCTCCCGCCTCTGACTGCCATCTTGCTATCAGAGCAACGGGATTATAGATGCATGCAGCTGTGCCTGGCTTTTCCATAGCTCCTGGGGTTTTGAACTCATGCTTACTTTGCAAGTACTTTATTTACTTGCCATCTTCCCAGCTTGTGACTCTTATCTTTTAGACCCTGCTTGCTGCCCTATGCCAAGACTGACTCATGTCAATAGAAGCAAGTCTCAAACCTAAAAGGAAGTGACCGTGGTCCTTTCCTGTCTGTCACAGCCTGCACAGCAAATCGAGGCCTGTCTTTTCAAGTGTTCACTTCTCAAGGTTGGATCAAAGGATGACTATTGTGTTTGAATACTAGCTGTGAACGTCAACATTGCATTACTGGACCAGAAATGGAGTTAATCTCCCTGCCAAGTGCGTAGGAGGCTCTCCACCTCTCCGGACTGTAGAAAAGAGATTGTTAAGACCTGGGCGATGGAGGGGATGCTCGGTCAATGACAGTCAACAGAAGAAACGATAAGTGCCTTCGAGAAGCCCATGCTCTCCTGCTATCATGACCACCAGGAAGTTTTAAGGGTCTCAGCTTGCTGGTGTCCTATGGACGTCCATCTAAAAACTGTACCCGGTATAGATGGCTCCAAGGCACCGCCCACCCCAGCTCTTTTAGAAATGCCCCTCCCACCTGAGAGCCACAGGTCCACATTCCCCCCAAGGTTTGGCAGCTGCCTTCTGTCTCAGACAACACTGTTATTTTCGCTTTAACAACAGATCAGGTGAGGGCTGTTTAGAAGGGGGCGTGCCGGCCTTGTCGCTCACCTGGAATGCCAGGTGGCTCCTTAATGAATCCTGTTTGGAGAACTGAAATGAAAGGAGGGTAGGTAAGTCTAGAGGCAGAGAGGCCTCCGGAGCTGCCAGACCGGCTGTGGTGAGACAGCGCTCGGGGACCCACAGTTGTGACACTTTCCGTGGGATACGCAGGTGAGAAACTCGGGCAGCAGGTGTGTCTGCTTTCACTGCTGCTGTTCAGGGTAGAGAGGGGAACCAACTACTTGTGGGTGGCTGGAGGCAGATGGAGTGCGAAGCTTTCATTATTTTTTAAAATCATGTATGTATGATAAATGTTAGCGTGTGTGTGTGTGTGTGTGTGTGTGTGTGTGTGTGTGTGTGTGTGTGGGGTGTATGGACATGTGCGCGCAGCTTTGTGTCCTGTACGCATTCCCAGAAGTCAGAGGAGCACACTGAGTGTCTGTTCACTCTCCACCTATTCCCTGGAGACCGTCTCTCAATGAACCTGGAGCGAGGCTGACGGCCAACACACCCAATGATTCCCCTGCCCCTGCCCCCGCCCCAGTGCTGATTATAGAGGCCCACAGCCGCGCTGGCTTTTTATATGGGTTCTAGGAATTTGGAATTGAGGTCCTTATTCAAGTGCTCTCCCAGCCCCCTTACTAATGATGTTATTATTATTATTATTTTAAATCACATCACACATACGAGTCAGCATGGAAAAGATCTACAGGGGCCCAATTATTTCTGGCTTAAAAAAAAAAAAGTTCATGCATCAAAATACAATTGAATGAAGTATCCATCTGTCCCTTAGAAGTCTGACTACTCAAGAGCTGCACCGGGGCCTCTGAGTGGCAGAGTCAACCCTAACCTCTCCGTCCATCCACACAAACTTTCAGGTGGCTTGAAGGTGTGTCGTGTGTCACGTCCTCACTCCTGTGTTTGAGGAAGGGATGGCTGGGGGTGCTGAGTTTTTCCCTTGTTTTCCTGAGTTGGTGTGGTTTAGCTTCTGTCCTGCCCTCTTCTTCTCCCTCCTGAGAGCCCACCTAGCTGAGGAGCAGTTGGTGGCTGCCAGGGGAGGGAGGGTGTTTAGTATGCTACGAAGTCCATTTTATAATCGATTGCAACTACTTCATTAAAAATTCCCAGCTAGGGGCTGGGGAGATGGCTGTCAGTAAAGGGCTGGCCCATGGAGGCATAGGACCCGAGTTCAGATCCCCAGCACATGCGTGAAAAGTCAGGTGCGGTAGCTTAAACTTACAATTCCCAGTACTGGGGCAGCAGAAACAGAAGGAGCCCTGGGGCTCACTGGCTGGCCAGTCTAGCCTAACTTGTGAGCTCCAGGCCAAGGAAAGACCTTGTCTCAAGGGTGGTGGATGACATGCCTGAGGATAACACCCGGGTTGTTCACCACACTCTGCACACATGCACATAAATGCATACAAAGTTCTCTGGCCTCTACATACCTGCGTGTGCGTGCATGTGTGTGTGCACGTGAACGCACGTGTGAGCGTGTGTATGAGAGTGTGTGTGTATTTCAACACACCTTTACCAAATAGCTAAGACATAGCTCAACGGTGTTCGGAAAGAGGACAGTCATCTTAGAAATGGCTGCCCTCATGGCAGGCTCCCGAAGCGGCAGAGGTCAGCTGTGTACACACAGAAACCCACCTCCAGGTGGAGATGGGCTCTTATCTCCTCCCTTACAGGTTAATCCAGTGGGGAAGGTCAAGTGACCTGGCAAGGGGACCACCCCTGGGAAGTTGGGTTTGCTTTAAGATAATGTACTTTTTCATCCTGGAATTCACCCCTTAGTGCAGTCCCTGTGAGTCAGTATGGGGTTTAGCTGTGTCTGTTTACCTGCTTCAAGTCCTGACTCAGAAAGCCACAATTATCCCTGGGAGCACTGGCCAGAGCCTCAGCATGTTTTTAAACTCTAATGGATGTTTTGGGTTTTCTTGCTCGATCTTCGTTCGTTCGTTCATTCGTTCCTTCCTTCCTTCCTCCCTCCCTCCTTCCCTCCCTTCCTTCCTTCCTAACCACTGAGCCATCTTGCCTGCCCTCCCTGTTCCTTTTCAAAGCTCACTGACCTATCACATTGCTACCTGCCACTGAGTCGCTATCCTCCTGCCACCGAGTGGCCATCGTCCCTGCCTGCCTGTTCCTCTCCACTCTCCCTCCTTGCAGATGTGAGATTCACAGCTTGCCTGCCCTGGCCTTTCCCTTCAACTCTAACAAATTGTCCTCAAGCTCCATTTCAGCCCACTCTCTGCTTCTGTCTGGTTTATCAAGACAGGGTAGTCTTCCTTATCTGTGTAGTCCTGGTTGTCCTGGAGCTCTCTCTGTAGACCAGGCTGGCTTTGAACTTTGAACTCAGAGATCCTCCTGCCTCTGCCTCCTGAGTGCTGGGATTAAATGTGTGCACCCCCCACTGCCTGGGACATGCATCATTCTTTTTTGTGGCACCAAACGTGTCCTTTATGAGCAGTACCCACAGCAGGAGTAGTGGGGTTCTCAGCCTCCTCCCGGCGGGGTTGGGCAGGCCAGGTGCAGGATAAACACTGTCTGTGAGCTAACATGTTTGCTCCTCACACCAGCCTAAGAGTTAGGTGCAATTACTGTATATACCTCATTTCAGTGCTGAGGAAAAGAGCCTAATAAATAGAAGGGGATCTAAACACAAGAGTAGTCTGCTTGAGATGAGACAGATGACAGGAAAAAATAGGACTTGTATGTGCATGTGTGGGTGCTCGTGTGTGTGGGTACTCATGTGTGTGTGTGGGTACTCGTGTGTGTGTGGGTGCTCGTGTGTGTGTGGGTGCTCGTGTGTGTGTGGGTGCTCATGTGTGTGTATGTGGGTGCTCGTGTGTGTGTGCACATGTGTGGGTACTCATGTGTGGGTGCTTGTGTGTGTGTGGGTGCTCATGTGTGTGCATGTGTGGGTGCTCGTGTGTGTGTGTGCGCTCATGTGCGTGTGCATGTGGGGGTGCTCGTGGGGGGTGCTCGTGTGTGAGTGCTCATGTGTGGGTGCTCATGTGTGTGTGAGTGCTCATGTGTATGTGTGCATGTGTGGGTGCTCATGTGTGTGTACATGTGTGGGTGCCCTGTGTGTGCACACATGTGTGGGTGCTCGTGTGTGTGTAGCTGTCTATGCATGTATGTGCATATGTATGTGTATGCTAGGGGTCAACCTCGGGTGTGGTCCCTCAGAAATGCTGTCCACATTTTCCTGAAGCAGGGTTTCTCACTGGCTTGGAACTCATAGGCTGGGCCAGGCTGACTGGTCAGAGAGCCCCAGGAGTCTTCTTGTATCCATACCAGTTTTCTTTTCTTTCTTTTTTTTTTTTTTTTTTCCTGCTTCAACATTTTCTTTCAGGGAGAAGACACCACACTTGAACTTAAGAAAAACCCTTTACAGCCCAGGTCTTTTATTTCTTTTTATACATCAGGCCATGAATTCGTAGGGAATGGGCTCCAGCAGCTCAGGCTCCGTCCTGTTAGTCCTCACAGAGTGTGCTTCTCTGGGTGGAGCAGGCTGGCGCTTCAGCTGAAACCAGGTGCCCTTCTCTTTGGCTTCTGGTCGTTCTCCTTCCCCCGCCTCAGGAAGCTGTCTCTGCTCTTCAGACACTTGATGTGTTCAATCCACACACTAATTCTCATGGCAAGAATCTTGCCCTTACTTGCTTGTTTACAGTGATGCCCACAGCATGCTGGTGATCCTGTAGACTCTCCCAGTTTTGCCATGGTAACATTTATGGGGCATTGGGGCATTCCTTTTTGAACTGTGCCCATTCCCTTGGTCTTATTCCTAAAAAACGATCCCCGGGCGGGTTGGCGGAGCCCGCCATGAGAAAGCGGCTACAGGAGGGTACGTGCTGCGCCCACGGTGGTGGCAGGTAACAGACACGTAAACACAGGAAATAGCCATAAGTATTTATTAAGGAAGAGGGAGAAAAGAAAGAAAGAAAGAAAGAAAGAAAGAAAGAAAGAAAGAAAGAAAGAAAGAAAGAAAGAAAGAAGAGATAAAAGGAGAGAGGAGAGATAAAAGAAGAGAGAGACAGAGAAAACACGTGCGCACGCCAAGGAAGCAGAAAGAGGAAGGGTCCCAAGATGGCGACAGGCAGGTCAGAGGTTATGGGAGTGGGCGTGGCTAGGGCAGGGAATAACACTTGGTGTCTACAAAATCACCCTTCTTGTACACTCGCATGCACGTGGCCAAAGGAAAACTCCATGTTTCCTAAGGGCCTAGAGAACACAGCGAGTGCCCCCCTCTCTCCCTGGTGTTTGCCACTTTGGCGAGTTCCTGAAAGATGGCTGCTGTGGCTGGAAGCTTTTTTTTTTTTTTTTAACCTGGGTTCTATGTATAGAAAAAGCTCCTCTCATGTGCACAGCCAGCTACCAATTTACCTCCTAGGACTTTTGATGGCTCAAGGCAATTTTACATGAGTAGACTTGCCACATGATATGCCCTCTATGGTCATTATGTGTCCTCTCTGCTACTGTCCCTGGCTTCATTAGGGAAGCTGTGTGGGGAGCTGGAGTGACCCCCGATGGCAGCCAAGCAGAGAGAACCCGTGACTGTCATTAGCCTTCGGAAGCTGAGCCAGGCAACCCCAGAGCCACAGCAGAAAGGTAAGACCACCGCAGAAGGCCTGGCTTTCAGACTAATGCTGACATTGTTCTAATAAGGAGCAGGGGCCAAGGTTATAGGTCAGTCGGCAGCATGCTTGCCTAGCCGGCATGAAATCCTACCCTGGTTCCCAGTACCACATAAACTGGGTGTGGAGGTGCCTGTCTGTAATCCCAGTGCTGGAGAGGGAGAAGCAGGAAGATGGAGCTGGAGAGGTAGAAGCGGGAGGGTCAGGAGTTCAAGGTCATCCTCTGCTATCCGTAGGAGCTTGAGGTCAGTCTAGGCCACACAAGACCCCAATAAGTAATAACAATAATGTTGCACATACCTCCAAAGGTGAGCCACAGTCCTGGGGGTTCCATTCCCACTCAAGGGGTCCTTACATTCTGGCTTCCTTGTCAGAGATAAAGACGTTCACTGTGGAGGATGCCGTGGAGACCATTGGGTTTGGACGCTTTCACATCGCACTCTTTCTGATCATGGGCAGCACCGGGGTGAGTGCTCCTGGAGATGCTTGGCACCTGTGACACTGTCCTCTCTGCTGGACACCGTCTTCCTGCTGGCCTCCACCACCGGACTGGCCATCCCAGGAGCGGGAGTCCTGTGGAAATCATTTCAGCAGTCCTTGGCATGGGTTGGCTGGGAACAATGTCTGCGTGTGTCTGTCCTGGCAATTCCAGACTCCTCGTAAAAGTTTACATTGAGTTGTTGGGGAGAAGGGAGAGGACCATGGGGTTATTTCACGTGGAGTAGACATGTGGCCCTTGAGCGTGTGTGCATTGGTATCACCTGGAATGCCTGCTGTCAGGAAGATTCTAGATCCCCTAAGAGGAATTCCCTTCTATTAGTGGCGTGTGTTTCTCCTAACTTCTGTTGTATGCTAGGCATGGTGGCTACACCTGTAACCCCAGCGCTTGGCAGGGAGCTGTAAGAAGATCAAGAGTTCAGGGTCATCTGCTGTGTATTGAGTTTGAGGCCAGCTGGGGAGACATGAAATCTGACGTCAGTTCCTGGAACTCATGTAAAGGTGTGAAGAGAGAATGGCTACCTCCCAGATGGGCATGTGGACACACACGCTACACACACACCACACACATATATACACACACGACACACACACACACATCCACACACATTTTAGGCTTTTTGTTTTTTTTTTTTTTAATTTTTAGAAAGGGCTAGTGGTATGTCTCAGTGAAAGAGACATATCTAGCGTGTGAAGTCTCAGCAAAGCCCTGGAATAGGTCCCTGCTCCTCCCACCACCCCCATTTACCCACCCCTGTACTTCTCCACCCATGCCAGTACAAAGATCAAATCAGGTAAAATCTGTTGTTTTTAGGGGAAATGGGATTTTGTTATGCTGACCTTGGTATGGTGGTCTTAGGTGATTCCAGTCCTAAATAATTAATTCTCTAATAAATTCCACCAAATATTCACAAACCAAAAACAGCAAATAATATTTAGATATAATTATGCCACTTGAGAGGAAGAAGCAGGAAGATCAGGGGTTCAAGGCTAGCCTCAGCTACATTGCAAATTCAATGCCAACCTGGTTACTTGAGACAGTCTCACAAACAAACAAAAACGACAGACAAGAACTGGGTGTCATGCCTTATGACTGTCATCGAAACACTTAGAAGGCTGAGGTAGGGAGAGTGCTGTGAGGCTAGCCTAGGCTACACAGGGAAATTTTTTCTAAAAACACAAATAAAACCAAGACCAACAGTCATCCAACACAGAGGAATCTTTCTGGAGTCCTGATGCATCTTTCTGGAGCTGTGTGCTCCCTCGGGAGAGAGGGTGGGGATAGAAAGAGGCATGTCAGAAGCATCACACCCCGCCTTTCATGGTAACATGCCACGCAATGCGGAACCCTTCCTTACATGCAGAGGGAAGACTCTTCCGGCTCACGCTCTCACAGTTCCGCACTCAGAGCCACACAGCAGGTTTTACTACTTCTGTTCCTGGAGAGGGACAGCGTTACTCCTAACCAGTGCATTTCCTTTGGGATCCTTTAGACACTCGGTCCTGATGGTCATCACCCCTCTGTTCCGTATCACTAAGAAGGAGGAGTTTAGCAAAGCGAACATCTTTCTGAGATGGCCCTGCTGTCTCAGTCCTGTGCTAAAACATCCCACTCTGAGGACAGCTGCAATCCTCTAGAGAAGACAAGCCACAGCCTGGGGACCACTGCCCCTCCATAGGTGCATTTTCATCCCCAGAGACACTCTGAGGGATACCCTCCAAAAAATAGGAGGCAGGAGGGTGAATTGAAAGCCTCAAAAAGAAAAAGAGTACAGGGGCTGGAGAGATGGCTCAGAGGTTAAGAACATTGCCTGCTCTTCCAAAGGTCCTGAGTTCAATTCCCAGCAACCATATGGTGGCTCACAACCATCTGTAATGGAGTCTGGTGCCCTCTTGTGGCCTTCAGGCCTACACACAGACAGAATATTGTATACATAATAAATAAATATTTTAAAAAAAAGTACAAAAAAGAGTTAAAAAGAGTACAAAAAGGAGTAAAAACAGTACAAAAAGAATGAAAAAAAAGAGTATAGCCTCAGAGATGAAGGAAAAGAGTAAGTTTAAAGGAGACAGATTAAAAGGAGTACCCCCAAGAATGCAGCACCCCTGCTTGGTAGGAAGCAGCCAGACAAATTGACGACACCCAAATTCTCCAAAAGATTGTTGAGGAAAAGAAAGAAAAAAAAAGGGGGTGAGATATTGGGAGCAGTGAATCCCTAGACCCTGAATTTCTGGTAAACAACTTGTTTTTTTTTTCTGCTCTGAGACAGCCTGCAGCTGCCCTGAGCATGAGACCCTCAGGAGTTCCTGATGGCAGGAGAGTGATTTCTGGTGGATTTGGCTGGGGCATGGCTCTCAGTTAAGGATCTCTATATAAGCAGCTCTGGTACACAATAAAGGGGGCATTGCTGGTTCAAGGATGACCCATGTCTCTGTGAGTCTTTGTGTGTTTCAATCTCCAGCCCGTTGCCCGGTTCATGAACGGTATGGTAGTGCATAAAGCTCAGACGGGTGTGGTGTGCTACAAAACCCCAGACAAATGTGTTCTCTTCCTTTAGTTCTCCTTCCTCCTCCTGATATCTTTGTCCTTGTCTGTGATGTTTGTGTTCATCTTGCCCTGCAGGTACAGGCCCTCAGATTTGGCTGGACAAAGTGGTAGGTACTGTAGTCCCAGTGACTCAGAACATTGAGGTAGGAGGATCACCCGAGGTTGAGAGTTCAAAGCTGACTTCGGTGGTGGTGTGCACCTGCAATGCTAGTGCTCTGGGGAGCGGAAGAGATGGGGGGGGGTCCCTGGTGCTTTCTGGCCATCCAGCCAAGCCAAATTAGTGAGCCCCAGGTTCAGGAAGAGACTGTCTAAAAAATAAGGAACTAGAAGGATGGCAAAAGACCCTTGCAAAAAGACTCTTGCAAAAAGACCCAACACCGACATGGCAGCTCACAACCATCTACAGCTCCAGTTCCAGGGGATTCAGCACCAACTTCTGGGTCCCATGGCTTTTGAATACATGCATACAGTCAGACACACACACACACATACGCACATACATACTACTCAAAAATAAATAAGGCAGAGGTGACTGTCGGGAGGAGACAGTGTGGGCATGCCTCTTTCTACAGCTCTCCCTTGAGCGGCCTGTCCCAGGCTGTCCTGTCTTTGTTGTCTTTTATCTAGTTCACCTGTTCCTACTCATTCATTTCTGGTTTCTGCTTCCTTCTCCTGGGAGATAAACCCACCCTGAAATGGAGTGTAGGGTATGGACAAAGATTAATTGTGTGGGTTAGTTTCAGCTAACTTGGCGCAAACCTAGGCACGCCTGGCGGGAGGGAACCTCATCTGAAGAACCGATCCCATCAGATTGGCCTATGGGCATGCGCAGGGCATTTTCTTGCGGATTGATGCAAGGGTGGCGCTAGCTAAGCAAGGCGGGAAGCAGCTCCCCTCCGCGGCCTCTGCTTCAGCCCCTGCCTCCAGGTTCCTGCTCGGAACTCCTGTCCTGCTTTCTCTCCATGGTGGACTATAAACCCGCTCTTCCCCTCGTTGCTTCTGGTCCTGGTGTTTATCCCAGCAACATAAAGCAAACTAGAACACTAGTTACCCTTCTCCTGTCAAAATCCTCAGTAGCACATCCTACACCATCTGTCGAGCGGACATTCTTCCCTGAAAATGAACTCCTCGCTTGTGCCCATTGCTTTGTCTTCCAGCCTTCAGAAACCTTCCTATCTCCTCTTGAGACCCAAGCTTTCTGATGTAAGAAGCTGTTTCTAAAACATCCCTTGCAAAGGTGTGTCCTACCACCCTCATAGCACACCATGACTAGCCAGGCTCTCCCACTAGCTAGTGACTGGCCCCTCCAACAGTGTAACTGAGCACATGCGCAGGTCAGCACACACAGGGAATCTCTAGGGACACTCCCAAGTTGTACAAACTGGCTATCACACCTATGAAAGCTAAGGATCTCCTACAGGTATCTACTTCCTTTTTGTTCTGCTTTGCTTAGCGTGGGGTTTCTCCAGTCAGGGTCTAGATAGGAAGTCAGTGCTGGCCTCAAACCCACCATGCTCCTGCCTCAGTCTCCAGAGTGGTGGGATCACAGGTGTATGCTACTGTGCCTGGTTCTACTGTAATTGTTTATTTATCTAGGGGAAGGGGAAAGAGGCCATCGGGACTAGGAGGGTGACAGACCTATGTGGCGGTGGCATGAGCTAGTGTGTTTCCTGCTTTGTCTTTAAGGTGGTGGAAGCCATGGAGATCATGTTAATAGCGGTTGTGTCTCCTGTTATCCGCTGTGAATGGCAGCTGGAGAACTGGCAGGTGGCACTTGTCACCACGGTGAGTACCTGCTGCCTGTGCTGTGGGAAGGAACAACTTGAAGGTCTGGCTTCCCTTCCAGTACTCTGAGAGCCGAGTGCCAACCCTGGCCCCACCCAAAATGAGGAGTGCTGGCCTCCAAGTTCATGGGTTTCCAGACCCCATAGTGGTTAGCGCTCAGCACCTTTCTCTCTCTCTGTCTCTGTCTCTGTCTCTCTCTCCCTCCCTCTGGTGAATAACCTTGAGTAGCCAAGCATTCCTAGCTGATGTTACCTCCCCTAATTCTAGAACAGTCTCACCTCCACGCACTGCCAGCCCCAGCCCACCTCTCTAGCTGACCTTCACTGGTCCTCAACATCCGCCAAAGCAATACGTCCTCCCTGAAAAACCCTTGGACTCAGTATGTGTCACAGTTTTCAGAGTCCCACTCCATGCCACGAAAGGCAACCTTAGGTAAAGAACGCATGGCTTCATAGTCAATATGTTTCTTATGAAGTGGGTGTTAAAGTAAGCTTTCTATGGTTTGACCAAGATGTGAAGAAGACATATTAAAATCGTGGGGAACATGCTGTGGATGTGAGCAGCCACTGCAGGGCTTTAAAGAGGGCCGTGATTGGGTGTCCAAGAACTCTGAGGCAATATGGCTGAAGGGCCAGGTTCCAGGGATACGGTGTCTGATGGGGAATGGCAGTGTCTGGAGGTGAGGCTGTGTGCTCAGGAATTACTAAGGAGATAGCATCAGCCTCAGAGGTCCAGAGCACAGGGTAATGGGAAAGGGTTGACTTACCTGTCATTAACACTGGTGTTAACAGAGACAACTTGTAACAGAAAGGCATCCAGATGTGGCCAGAGTGAGAGGACCCAAGGGAGGCAGGAAGGTGGTGACCTGTAGCAGTCATGGAAAATTCGACAAGTTTGATTCTTCCCCTTCCCTGGCTTAAGTCCTTCCAAGCTTGCAAGGACAGAGGAGCCACCCTTGTTTGGAGGGATGGTAGGACAGATGGCTGCCTTTCTGCTCACAGCCTTCTCTGAGTTTTGCCCTCTCCCTCAGAACTGCCCTGTATTCTCTTAATGTGTAGTAAGTTCGAATCCTGCTTCTTTCTGTGTCTTGGAGGATGGAAGGCGTGGAGCCCAGATTTGTGTCCAGTCACAGTTCCACATCTGCCCTTTACTGAAAAGGCAGAAGCGTGTGCAGTGCGTAAACCAGAAAGTTGTCTTTTGCTTTTTGAGACAGGATCTCACCACACACTCAGGCTGCCATCCCTCTTTCGTTTGCACGCTCACCCTGGTTCAGCCTCCTGAGTGCCAGGGTTACAGATGTGTGGCATTGTGCTAGGCTGAACTGTGTTTTATATTAAATAAGGAAGTAGAGCCTAGGGTGGTGGCACAGGCCTTTAATCCCAGCACTCTGGAGGCAGAGGCAGGAGGATCTCTGTGAGTTCGAGGCCAGCCTGATCTACAAGAGCTAGTTCCAGGACAGGCTCCAAGGCTACAGAGAAACCTGGTCTCAAAAAACAAACAATTAAGAACAGAACTGCACAGGGAGGGAAGGGGAGAGGGAAGAGTGCAGGGCAGGGGTGAGGTCAGTGTCCCGTTGCTGTGCACTTTCCCAAGGGGCTGCAGAAATGCAGGCTTCCGGGTTAGCAAAGCTTTGCTTGAGTCTAGGTTTCTGTCCCAGAAAGCAGAGAGTCTAGGGCAAACGTCATGGCTCTCATACCTCAAGGATCTATGGGATAAAAACTAAGACACTGAATTTTTAAAATTAAAAAAAAAATATGCCAGAAAATGGGAAGACTCCTTGCTCATGGGTTGATAGGATTAATACTGTGGAAATGGCTCTACTGGTGAGGGCAGTCTGTTGATTCATTGCATCAAAATTCCTATGGTACTCTTTGAAGAACTAGGGAAAAAAATCCTAAAATTAATGTGTGGACACCAAAGATTCGTGGTCAAAGCAACTCTAAGCAGAGAGATCAGTACAGATCTAATACCTGACTTCAGATCACATTACAGAACCATGGTGACAAGCGCAGCATGGCACTTGCGCAAAACTGACGTGCAGAGCAAGGGTGCACAGCAGGGGCGGAAACCCGCACAGCACTGGGCACACAGCTTTTGAAAAGGGGGTCGGAAAAACCCAGTGGAACGCATACAGCCTTTCTGCAGATGGTGCTGGGGAGCCTGCGTAGACACACAAAGGATGAAATTAGAACTACATCTCACTTTGCACAAAAATCAATTAAAAATGGATCAAAGACCTTCATTTAAAACCTGAAACACTGAAATTGCTTGAGGGAAACAGGAAGAATACTCCAAGACATAGCAATAGGAAAGGACTCTCGGAAAGACTCCAATAACACAGGATATTGCCCAGTTAACAAGTGGGGTGATGCGAAATTAAAAAGCTTCTGTATAGCAAAGAAAGCAGCCAGCAGAGTGGAGGGGCAGCCTCCAGAAAGGGAGAAATCTGACTGCTCAGACAGGAAGCCAGTGTCCACAACATGCAGAGAACTGAAAAACAAATTCCACGCGAGATCCCAAATCTCCCATTCAATAAGTGGTCTACTGCACTGAACAGACAGTCTCAAAAGAGACACAAACAGCCAATAAACATTTCAAGCAGTCATCATCCTTAGCTATCAGAGAAGATTTCCTCTTACCCCAGTCACAGTGGCCGTCATCAGGAAGACAAATGACAACAAATGTTGGCAAGGATGCTGGCAAAGGGAAGCCCTTATTCACCACTGTTGATACTGATGTAGTCACTATGGAAATCGGTATGGAAGCTTCTTTTAAAAAACAAACAAAAAAGCTAAAAAACCAAAAAACTAAAACCAAAACTATTATATGAGCCAGCTATACCACTTCAGGACTCAAAGTGTCCTTGGTTCAATTGCAGACACTTGCATATCCACGATTGCTGCGCTGTGCACAGTGGCTAGAGATGGAGCCATCGTAGATGTCCATCAACAGATGAATGCATCGGAAAATGTGGTCCATGTATAAACCAAAATTTTATTCAGTCATAAGGGAAAAAGAGTCATGGCATTGTGTGAGAATGTCTGGAACTGGAACTCATTAAGTTAAGCCAAGTATCCAGATTCAGAAAGGCAAACACGACGTATTTTCACTCATGTGTGGGTCTTAGATTCTAACTTTTATATATGTGTTTAGGGTAGATGTATGTCATGAAGGGAAGATGAGAACCATGAGAGGTCTTGAGAGCTGGGGAAGATGAAAACAAAGGTAACGGAATACAAGGGATGTGACAGGAGGGAGGGAGAAAAGGGACCCACAGGAAACCGGGAGGAAGGAAAAGAGTAAGGAAGGAGGGGCCATAAAAAGAAATTGGGGGACAGAGAGAAGACTCTGCTGTTAAAAACACCTGCTGCTCTTGCAGAAGACACAAGTTTGAGTCCCAGCACCGATGTTGGGCAGCTCAAAACCACCTGTAACTCCAGCTCCTTGTATCTGACCTGTCTGGGCACCTTGGACATCCACATGCACAACACATATTTATCCACATGCACAACACATATTTTTATGCATTAAAAAGTGCATGAAAATGCTGCAACAAAGCCCATTGCATACAACCTGTATGCTAATTAAACCAAGTATTTATAAAGGAGAATATATTAGAGCCTAAAGTTCTGGGTTTGACCTGCAGCACAGAAGTGGGTGGGGCAGATGTGCATGTAAGATGACGTGCAGAAGTGGGTGGGGCAGATGTGCATGTATGATTGTGTACAGAAGTGGGGTGGGGCAGATGTGCATGTATGATTGTGTACAGAAGTGGGTGGGGCAGATGTGCATGTCTGATTGTGTACAGAAGTGGGTGGGGCAGATGTGCATGTCTGATTGTGTACAGAAGTGGGTGGGGCAGATGTGCATGTATGATGACGTGCAGAAGTGGTGGGGCAGATGTGCATGTATGATGCCGTGCAGAAGTGGGTGGGGCAGATGTGCATGTATGATAGCTTCTGAATAGTTCCTTGTGAGTCTTTTTTTTTTTTTTTTGGAACTAGCTCTGTAGACCAGGCTGGCCTCGAACTCACAGAGATCCACCTGCCTCTGCTTCCTGAGTGCTAGGATGAAAGACATGCGCCACCACCGCCCGGCCTGTGAGTCTTATGAGGGGCAGAAAAAAAGCAAAGCAAAGCAGGCAGCAGAGAGAAGCAGCCTTTTCCCCGAGAGGTGCTGCAAGCAAAGATGGCACTGTGCCTCTGGTTTCCTGGGGGCGTCAGCCAGGAGGATTCCTAAGGGAAAAAGGGATTGTCTGGAGGTAGGGAAGTAGGGGCTGGCTGCACAGGCCCACACAGAGCCAGGCTGAGTGAGGCACTGGACAAGAGAGGAAAGCAAGCGGCTCCACCTGACGACTTGTAGTTCGGAGATTTTATGTGTTTATTGAGACAGGGTCTCCGTGTGTAAGTGCCAGGCTCTCCTGATATGGCTGGTGAGAACGGAAACCAGGCTGGGGTTGGAGGAGGTCTCAGCAAGAATGATGCTTTGACCAGTTTATTGGAAGCAATCAGACATTTTATACATGTTCAGAAACAGGATACATTGGGCAGTGGTGGTACACGCCTTCAATCCCAGTACTCGGGAGGCAGAGACGGGTGGATCTCTGTGAGTTTGAGGCCAGCCTGGTCTACAAGAGCTAGTTCCAGGACAGCCAGAAATACACAGAGAAACCCTGTCTGGGGGGAAAACAAAACAAAACAAAAACAAACAAACAAACAGAAAAGGAAAGGGACTACAATTGTAGTTGCCAGGACACAATGATGTTTGCCAGCTATACAGCACACTCAAGATTAATGTCTAATACTAATTGTACAGCCAAGCTTCTGTGTGCTTCTGCTGACTTCTGGGGAATGCAGAGGTACACAGGAGACCTGAATGCTCCTTTGCATGGGGGTGCCTTGGTCTCTCAGGTACTGGAGGGCACCCAGTACCCCAGGAAGCATGAACTCTAACCTGAAGAACCTATGACTCAACGCCTCTCGAGGCAGCTAGACCAGGCCAGCTCCATGACTCCCTGCATCCAGTAGCTCAAGGGCGACCTTGGATTTCTGACCCTCTTTCTTCCACCTCTGGAGTGCTGGTTTACAGACACTTAATCCATGAACCAACCATCTTGGCTGCTTTTATGTGAAGCTAGGAATGGAACCCAGGGCTTTGTGCATGATAAGCAAACATCCTGCCAACTGAGCCCCAGCCCCAGCCCTTTAGAGGGTTTTAGGTGGATGACTGGTTCAGGTGTTCATTTAAAGTTTGTGACAATACAAAGAAAGACTAGTTTAGTGGCAGCAGCTTGTGTAGGAATAGGGCACAGCAGGCATGACTAGATTTTAAACTACAATGGGAAGTCACAGCTTCATGCCAGGCACAGCAGGGAGGCCAGGGAATGGGAGAAGGGCAGCAGTTTCCTACTCTGGGGACCTGCTTCTACCTGGGCCCTGTTGGTAAGGTATGTTTGTACAAGAAATATAGACCCCAACCCCAGGCGCCTGCCTGCTTGCCCTGAGCCCTGGGGTGCTCTGGGAAGCCCATCTCCAACCTAATTTTCGCTAGGATGGTTTAGCTCTATGCTTAACGTAGTAACTGCACTTCTTCCTAGTGTGATCTGCTTTAGAGCACTGTTTCTCTTCACCCTGACTCTAGATGGTGTTTTTTGGCTACATGGTGTCCAGCATCCTCTTTGGTCTCCTGGCTGACAGATATGGCCGCTGGAAGGTAGGTCAGGCCATGTAGGATACCCCCTATTCCCCCACCCCCACCACCACCCTGTACTCCGTTGGGCACTGTCCCAATCCTTCCCTTCCGTGGACCTGCCCCCATGCCATGTCAGTACGTCTTCCCTCAAAGGGGATAAGAGATAACTTATTCGGGAGTCAAACACAAGTGACGGTGGCCCAGGAGAAACACAGATGCAGGTTACCACAAGTACCACATTTATGCTGGCTGGTTTTATGTCAACTTGCCATAAGCTGGAGTCATCAGAGAGGAGGAGCCTCAGTTGAGAAAACTGTCTCTATAAGATCTGGCTGCAGGCAAGCCTGTAGAGCGTTTTCTTAACTAGGGACTGATGGGGGAGGGCCCGGTTTATTGTGGGTGGTGAAATCCCTGGTTTTGGTGGTCCTGAGTTCTATGAGAGAGCAGACAGAGCAAGCCAGTAAGCAGCTCTCCTCCATGGCCTCTGCATCAGCTCCTGGCTCCAGATTCCTGCCCTGTTTAGTTCCTGTTCTGACTTCCTTCAGTGATGAACAGTGATGTGGAAGCGTAAGCCGAATAAACCCTTTGCTCCCTGGGTTACTTTTTGGCCATGGTGTTTCCTCGCAGCAATAGTGACAACAACCCCAACGAAGACAACATCCTAACATAGTCTTGCTGTTTAATATCAAAGACAAGGGTTGGGAATGTTAGACTTGGAGGCTTACAGCAAAGCAGGGAAATGTCTGCTATAGGACCCGGATGCTATCTGATGACATTCGTAGCTTGGGGACAGTGAAAGTTAGTCTTCCGTTAAATTAATGTAATCCAAAGGTTTTACTTTATAACCACTAGGGCGCTGGATTAGATACAGAGGTGGGCGAGAGATGGCTATTTAGGACTCTAAAGATAATCCTGGGGTAATTTGGCTCTGCAATAGTCCAACATTTTTTTTTTTTTTTTTTTTTTTTTTTTGGTTTTTTGAGACAGGGTTTCTTTGTGGCTTTGGAGCCTGTCCTGGCACTAGCTCTGTAGACCAGGCTGGTCTTGAACTCACAGAGATCCGCCTGCCTCTGCCTCTCAAGTGCTGGGATTAAAGGCGTGCGCCACCATCGCCCGGCTTAGTCCAACATTTTTTAAGTTTTTTTAAAAATATTTATTTATTATGTATACAATATTCTGTCTGTATGTAGGCCAGAAGAGGGCACCAGACCTCATTACAGATGGTTGTGAGCCACCATGTGGTTGCCGGGAATTGAATTCAGGACCTTTGGAAGAGCAGGCAATGCTCTTAACCACTGAGCCATCTCTCCAGCCCTTTTTAAGATTTTTTAAAAATATTTTTTATTTATTATATAAACAACATTCTGCCACCATACCAGAAGGGGGCACCAGATCTTATTACAGATCAGAAGGCTGTGAGCCTATGTGGTTGCTGGGAATTGAACCCAGGACTGCTGGAAGGACTCTGAGCCATCTCTCCAGCCCAATGGTCCAGCTTCTTAAAGTCACAGTTTTCATCAGTCTCCAGTTCTATGGAATCATCAGTATAGCTGTGGCTTTTCCTGGGAACTTGAGTTCGTACTATAAAGCCTGCTTTTCTTGTAAATAAGAAAAGGCAATGCATTGTTTGCTTCTACTCTTTCCAATACAAGGTCTCCCTGTGTTCCCAACAGCCGTGTGAGGAGGGAGGGCAGCCCCTTGTTTTCTGTTACCTCCCAGGGTGGGCACACCAGACACTTTGAGACCATGCCAGTGCAGACTGAGAGAGCAGTGACCCAGGGAAGCTGAGGTCACACAGAGGAGGCACCCACTTCAAAAGGTATCAGGGCTCCTTCATTCCCCAGAGGGGTCCTGGTAACAAGCTCTCTTTCCTTGCTGCAGATTTTGCTGCTCTCGTTCCTGTGGGGCGCCTACTTCTCCTTACTGACCTCTTTCTCCCCGTCCTACATCTGGTTTGTCTTTCTGAGGACCATGGTAGGCTGTGGAGTGTCTGGCCATGCACAAGGGTAAGACTTGCTCCAAAGAGTGTGAGAGAGAAATGTGGATGCTTCAGGCAGGCACACACACACACACACACACACACACACACACACACTCGCACATACACACTCTCTCTCACACACACATACACTGTGCGCACACACAGAGACAGAGGGAGAAAGACACATGCACACATTAAAAGGCAGATACACAGAAGACACACATACATACATTCATAGATGGCAGACACACGAGAAAGAGAGAGAGAGAGAGAGAGAGAGAGAGAGAGAGAGAGAGAGAGAGAGAAGAAAGACACAGAAACAGACACACATGCATGCAGCCACAGACAGAAACAGCCTGGATTCAAACAAACAGACACACACACACATTCATGTGCACGTGACTATATTAAGTAGGTGAAGACTGGGGATGTAGCCCAGTGGCAGAGCTCTTGCCAAACATGGACAAGGTCTTGGGTTGAAGGTCAAGGCATGTAGGATGTGGCCTTGTTTGCTGTGTCCTCCCATCCCTTCCCTTCCATGAACTTGCCTCGTATCAATACCTCTCCCCTGCAAAGGGTGAGAGATAGCTTACTCTTGGGCTAACCACAAACAGCTGTGGACCCTTGTAGTGCCCAGAATAACTGTCCATTACAAAGTGCCATTGCCCTGTAGTTTAAAACCATACCGGGTGGCCTAGAGAGATGGCTCGGGGCTTAAGAGCATACACTGCCCAGTTCAAATCAGCTTCAGGGGAAGTTTGGTGCCTCTGGCCTGCTTCGGCACCTGCACACATCACATACACTCATATGCACATGTGCACACACATCACATAACCCACATACACTCACATGCACATGTGCACATACACCCATACACTCACATGCACATCTGTACACACACCACATACACTCAACATGCCCATATGCACACACATCACATACACTTACAGGCACATGTGCACAAACATAGTTAAAAATAAAACTGAGAAAAGAGAAATGCTCAGATTTAAAAAAAAACACAAAAACAAAACCCACACCAGAAAATGAATTTGCAAAGCAGAATGAGAAATACTGAAATAGAATTAATGTGTCTGCCTGTCTCCTGTGGGTCTCAATGTTGGGTGTGAGCGTTGCTGTGTTAATGTTCCTGCTACGGGGCCACCTCAAAATTCACAGAGCCCCTCAGGCTATTCCCTCCTGGGTGCCCTGAGGCACATTCTCCTTCAATCACGTTAGGAGATGTCAAAGCACCAGGCATCACCTTAATGCGCTGAAGACTGAAGACAGACTTGTTCTTCCCTGGGGCACTAGTGAAGTAGTTCACTGAGCTGAGAGTCTGACAGGAGTAGGTGCTGAGAGAGCTTTAAAGTCTCCTGCAAGAAGCAGCCCAATAGATTGGTTAAAGAAAGACAAAGAAGTCCTAGCCCTTGCTCTAATATGCTAGTGGAGAACAGTGTCAAAGCTGAGGATCTCACTCCGTTTGTCCTTCTGTTTACACCATCTCTGCACACTTCCCTGGAAAGGCACTGACTGTCACCAGTGAACACTCTGCCTTCCCTTGGGGACAGTTCGATTTCTCGGGTATATTTTACACCACAAAGGGCTTTAGATTTGACAAAGCCATTTTCCAAAGTTTCTCTTGGCCAAAGCGATTAGGCCAATGTCCCCGTGAGCCAGAGAGTTTAAAATGAATGTCAGAGCAGAGTGACCGGAGAGGAGCCATTGTGAGTTCACTTCTCACTGTTTGCGGATGTGGAACGTCACCGTAACAATTATAGCTTAATATATGACGAACTCCTTTTTTAATTAAAAGAAATAAGATATAAAATAATATATAAATAATATAAAATTGTTTAGATTTACTTTATCTGCATGAGTGCTTTGCTGCATGCATGTGTGTACGTATCCCCTGAGGGTGCCTGGTGTCCACAGAGGTTAGAAAAGGCTGTCACATCCCCTGGAACTGGAATTATGGATGATTGTGAGTATTGTGTGGGTTCTGAGAGCCAAGCCCAGGTCCCGTGCAAGAACCACAAGTACTCTCAACTACAGAGCCGTCTCTCAAGCCTCCCTTTATGCTTATAATATCTTTATTGAGGTGAAAATTTGTGACTGTTTAAATGTTAAATGTTGTTTGGTTTTCTAAAGACAGAATCATTGTGTTTCCCCGCTCCCTGTGCAGGTTAATCATAAAGACCGAATTTCTGCCCACAAAATACCGAGGCTACATGCTGCCCTTGTCTCAGGTAAGGTGAAGGGGGAACTCTGGAGCCTGGTGCGCGTGAGAGGACGGGGCACGTGGGTTTCCTTCCAGCCCGCTAATGGACTTGGGCTAGTACACTGCCTGTTATCTTAGCACCAACTAGTGAGCATGAAACATGTCTGGTGCCACAGGTCCAGCAGGAAGGTGTTCTGAGCTGGGGACTTGTGCCACCCAGCCGTGATGCTCAAGACACCGTACCACCTTCCTCAAGAGCCAGGGTGTAGTCCAGTGGCTGGCTTCATTAGAATGACAGACACCCAGGAGAGCCTTTCTCATCTCACAAAGACTTCAGAGAAGGGAGACAGCTCCTACTTTTTTTGGGTACCCCATCTCTCTTCCAAGGACGCTGATGTCTCCAGGTCCACACTGCCCTCACTTGGAGGAAAGTTCCAAGATTATGTCTTGATAGCTGCTGTTCCTCCAGGGTCCTCCAACCCTGGCTGGCTGTAGACTAGAGGTTTTACATCCAGAATCTTTATCAATCTTGTTCCCCTGGACTGTTTTTATTCCCCCAGACCCTAAAGTCCCAACTCTGGGGAATGTCCAGGAAAAAGATGACCCTTTCTACTAAGGTTTCATGTATTTGGCAATAAATAACCCAGGAGATTTGATTTTTATATAGAATGTAGGCAACCGAAAAGAACCAGGAACACCCGATGGTGACTCCGCATTCTCTCCAGGCTGTGTACTTTAAATCATCAAGAGATGAGCTACCTAATCAATATTTTGTAGGTAGACAGTTGTCCAGCTCAGACTCCCTTTGATTTTTTGAATACTGTTGATAACCAGTTGGCTGAAACCATGGATTTGAATTCATGGCTGTGAATCCTGCAGATGGACAGCTCTACCTGTGTGTTCTTTCCATCTCTAAAAACATGTATAAAAAACCAAGAACGTCTCCTGAACCAAGATCCAGGTGGCCATTTACCCGAGAGTGAGTAGACTGTCATAGAGGGTTCTCAAACGCCGCCTTCTTAGAACCCTCCTCTCCACCTTCCCCTGGGACCTCTCATCTCCCTGTGTCTATCTCGGGTCATAGCGAAGAGCTCACCTTTCTCCATCTGAGCTTGAATGCAGGAGCCACAGTGGACCCCACCCTTCCCCTCACCCTACCCGGTTGCCAGGCTGTGCTGGCTCACCCCAGTTCACGGACCCATGGCACAAGTGTCCATCAAGAAGCTCTGTCACCTTCAAAGACGTGTGACGAGTGCATTTAGAAAAGTCCTTTGTTCTGTTATTACTGAGATGCATCCCACTGCCACATCGACTGTCGCTTGCCCTTACACAGTAGCTACATCTATTGAGTCCCTTGTCACTTAAGCCATTCTCCATACATTATTCTATTTTCTTTGTGGCCCTGTCACTTTCTTAAGTAATCTATTTTTGGTGTAACTATCTTTGATAAGATAATCAACGCTTGGAGCTGGAGAGATAGCTTGGTGGTTAAAAGCACTGGCTGTTCTACAACATATGGGTTTCATTCCCAGCACCCACACTTACAATCTCTGTCACTCCAGCTCCAGATGATCTGACACCTGCTGGTCTTCTTGGGCATCAGGTATGGTACACAAACATATATGCATGGAAAACACTCATGCACATAAAATAACAAATACTTTTTTTTTTTAAAAGAAGTCCCTCAGTTGGGCAGTAGTGGTGCACACTTTTAATTCCAGCACTTGGGAGGCAGAGGCAGGCGAATCTCTGAGTTTGAGACCAGCCTGGTCTACAAGAGCTAGTCCCAGGTTCCAAAATTACAGTGAAACCCTGTCTCAAAAAAAAAAAATCCCTCAAAAAAAAAAAAAAAAAAAAAAAAAAGCTCCACAAAGGATCTTTTAAATGCTGCCTCTTTCCATCTTTCTGAGATGGAGTGACCAATCGTCTTAGGTGAGTAGGAGTATTTGGGCTAAATGGGGTGGTTCTACGAATTATTCTTTTTTGTTTTGTTTTGCTTTTCAAGACTGGGTTTCTCTGTATAACAGTCCTGGCTGTCCTGGAACTCACTTTGTAGAGCAGGCTGGCCTCAAACCCACAGAGATCAGCCTGCCCCTGCTCCTTGAGTAGTGGAATTAAAGGGGTGTGCCACCACCTCCAGGCATCTAGTAATAATTCTCGACCCTCAGAGCCCATGTTACTTGATATCAAACCCGAAAGCATAAAAAGCAGAAGTGTGAAGCACCATGTATACTATGGGCTGTTTTTGAAAATGGAGTGTCTGAAGGAGCTTTGGTGATAGACAGTAGACCTTGTCAGTTCCTCTGAGAAAAGAAGCTGGTGGCAGAGACCTGGGAGAAGAGAGCAGTCCCTGCTCCTCTTGTGCCTCCTTATGGCCAGGACATTGCATTATCTGTGTAAGGAAAAAAAAAAAAAAACCAACAACAGACTTCTAGGGCATTAGACTGGATTTTGTTTGAAACAATAGTGATATCGCTGCTGGGTTCTCTGTCCTAAGGTGGAGCAAACACTTTACACACACAAACTGAGCCCTGAAGAAGAGTGACTCAGCAGCTGTCCTGGGAGTAGAATCCAACTTGATAGTCAACTCCTCAGAACTCCCACCTTGCCCACACACAGTACAAAAGAACGGGTTCAAGGCTCCAGGGAAGGGAGAAATGGCACAGAGATAGGACCGAAGGAATTGTCATGTTTCAAGTCTCTCTTCCCAGGTTTTCTGGCTTGCTGGCTCCCTACTCATCATCGGCATGGCTTCTGTGGTCATCCCCACCATTGGGTGGCGTTGGCTCATCCGGATTGCCTCCATCCCTGGCATCATCCTCATCATGGCCTTCAAGGTGATGCTCTTGAAACTGCCTCTATGCTCCCTTTCTGCTGGACCACTGACCTCTTTCCCCCACAAATGTATTTATGGTAGTCTCTTTTCCTAAAAATGACTTACAAGTATTGTTTTTAATTATGTATATGAGCGTGTATGTGTCTGTATGTGGGTATGTGTGTATTAGTGTGTCCAGTCCTTTGGAGCTGGAGTAACAGTAAGTTGTGGGGATATATGTAGCTCAGTTCGTTGAATGCTTGCCTAGCATACTTGAAGCTGCCCTGGTCATTAGCCCAGCATAAACTATATGTGGTAACGCATGCTCATTGTAATTCTGGTACTCAGGAGACAGAGGCAGAAAGATCAGAAGTTCAAGGTCATCCTCAGGCCATTTTAGGATACCCAAGAAAAAGGAAGGGAAGAGGAGGTGAGGAGAATAAGAAGAGAGGCAAGAAGAGGGTAGAGGGAGAGGAGAGATAGAGATGGCAACAGAGACGTAGAGGCTCCTGCGTGGTCATTTATTCCAAACCTCAAGCCCATTTGGGTCTCCACAGGAAAGTAACCAGCTTTAAAAAGCCTGTGGCTAGGCCATGGAGGTCCGTCTTCTTACCTGGCATCTTTTAAAGTTGTTTTATTTTATTTTTTGAGACAGAGTTTCTCTGTATAACTCTGACTGCCCTGGAACTTTCACTATGTAGACCAGACTGGCTGTAAACTTGGAGATCTGTCTGCTTCTGCCTCCCGAGTGCTAACTGGGATTAAAGGCATGTGTCCCCTTGCCCAGTTTAAACCATTTTTAAAGGATACATAATCCCAAGCCTTTCCACAGTAAAAGAAACCATGGCCTCCACATCTTTCCCATGGCTGGTCCCACAGTCAGGCCCCTTCTCTCCTCTGTACAAGCTCAGAGGATCATTGTTTTCAGTTCTGTTGCTTGGAATCACCCCTTCCCCATCCCTGGCCCCTGAGAGTTTGGGGTTGTGGCTCAGTGGTGTAATGCATCCCTCACTTGCACAAGGGCCTTGGGTTCAATTCCCAGTATGCACCCCCACCACACATACACCAGGAATCACACCCAGACCCCTCAGCTGCTCTGGGACCAGTGACTTCCAGTCCTGTTGCTTCCTGTGGGAAGACTCCTGCCTCTGTATTTGTAGACTGAAGACTTCACTGCATTCTTGGCCAACTGCATCCCACCATTGGATGCTCTTAAGGCCTAGGTTAAGTGCTGCCTGGAATTTGTTGTATATGAATTGCTTTCAAGCCCAGAATCCAAGACCTGCCGTTGTATAACTGATGTATCTGTTAAAAAAAAAAAAAAAAACCAGGGCTGGAGAGATGTCTCAGTGGTTAAGAGCATTGCCTGCTCTTCCAAAGGTCCTGAGTTCAATTCCCGGCAACCACATGGTGGCTTACAACCATCTGTAATGAGATCTGGTGCCCTCTTCTGGCCTGCAGACATACACACAGACAGAATATTGTATGCATAATAAATAAATATTAAAAAAATAAAGTTTTGAAAAAACCCAACCCAAAACAAAACAAGAAAACATATATTCTAGCCAGGCAGCGGTGGCGCACGCCTTTAATTCCAGGCTTGGGAGGCAGAGGCAGGCAGATCTCTGTGAGTTTGAGGCCAGCCTGGTCTACAAGAGCTAGTTCCAGGACAGGCTCCAAAGCTACAGAGAAACCCTGTCTCGAAAAATAAAAATAAAAAAATCTAAAATCTATATTCTATTCAACTATCTAAAGTGGGTCCTTTGGTTTTAGTCCAGACTCTCATGGTCCCTAGATTTCCCTCCCTAGAGGCAAATTTCCAAATCGGCACTGAATTTATCAGAACACCTGATGTGTTGGATGCCTTCAAGCTTGCCACCCCTCCTGTGTGTGGAAGGCAGTCGGGAGGCCTGATGTAGCAACAACAGCACCCACCAGCATTTTGTCAGCCTATGGTACCTGCAGCTCTGATGTCCTTTGTAATCTGTGCCCAGTTTATCCCTGAATCTGCGCGCTTCAACGTCTCCACCGGAAACACGCAGGCTGCGCTGGACACCCTAGAGAGCATCGCCAAGATGAACCGCTCAGTCATGCCGGAGGGACAGCTCGTGGAGCCCATTCTGGTGAGTGCACACGTGGGTGATCACCCACCAGTAGTCCAGAAGGAAGGGGACCAGGGCTCCTTGAAAGAGCAGAGTAGAGGTGGGGCTTGATCTAGTTCCTCTCTGCCAACACTCGGGAGGCAGAGGCAGGCAGATCTCTTGAGTTCAAGGTCAGCCTGGTCTACAGAGTGAGTTCCAGGACTGGCTCCATAGCTACTGAGAAACCCTGTCTGGTGGAGGGGGGAGGAGGAGGGGGAAAACATTGTATTTGGCTCAGTCTCAGAGGTTGCAGTCAGTAGCCAGGGGCATCATTGTTTTGGGCCTGTGACGGCAGAGTAGCATGGTATAAGGGCATGTTGGAGCAGATCTGCCCACGCCGTGGTAGCTGAGAAGCAAAGACTGATAAGGGGGGTTTGGAACAAATGCGCCCCTTCCCTGAAAGTTTTCATCCATGTCCAAATGCCCTCTACTGGTGACTACTTCTGTGGATTAATCTACCAGCTAAGCAGGGCACTCATGATCAAGTCAGTTCTAAGTGACTGGTTCCACCAGCCAGGACCAGTTTTTAAAAAAATATTCTGTGTGTTTGGGTGTTTTGCTTCCATATGTCTGAGCTTCACACACACACGTGAAGTGTCTGCCAGAGGCCAGAAGAGGATGTTGGATTCCCTGTATGGATGGTTGTGAGTTGCCTTGTGGGTGCTGGAATCCACCTGATCCTCTGCCAGAACAGGCAGTGCTCTTAACCAGGGAGTTGTTCTTCAACCTCTAGGTCGTCATGATTTTAGACATCAGCCTTTTGGATTGGCCAGGGGGAGGAGAGGTTGCCTCATAATTGAGCCACACCTTGTATTCCTGGTGCATCATCAGGAATGTCACAGAAATATGTCCTTATCCCTCCATGTGTGTTCTGACCCCTGCTTTTCATTCTCCTAGGAGAAAAGAGGAAGGTTTGCAGATCTACTGGATTCTAAATATCTTCGGACCACATTACAGATCTGGGTCATATGGTAAGAACGTAATTATTGCAAGACTGATGTTAAATAATCAGGTATTTGAAGGAGACCCACTCAAGGAGAATAGCCCTACAAATACACCTTGTTTTTCACGTTGCCTCTCGTGATTTCCATTATCCATTCTCAATCAAAGTTAAAAATTGTATTTGTCTTGACTTCTTCAACAGAAAAACCACATTTGCATGTAACTTTTATGGCATGTTGTAAATTGCTTTATTTTGTTGAGTCTGTATAGGAACTTACATGGAAGGCATGATATGATCTGTGTGGATCTTCTATGGATGAAGAGGGGTCACTGTAAATCCATTCTCGGGGTATTAGAGAGAAATACAGGGAGCCACCAAGAGTTCCTCCCGCAATGCCTTGTCTTTCTAATGCTACCCACTCTACCTTCCTCCCCCAAATGACCAAACTGTAAAGGGAGAAAGGAAACCTTAACATTCTACGGTAGTTTCCCAGCTCTTTCCAGTGACATGACTGTGCATGACACCTCCTGGCCTTTCACAGTGTGTGCTTTCTGCTTACCCTACAACCGGCTGATCCTTCGAACTCACCAATGACAGGCTCGGTGGCACAGCCTTTTCAGGGCCTCTCTGGGCTTCATCTCTTTGCAGCTTTAACCTTGAGTGAGCAGACGCATCCAGAATAGGACTAAAAAAACAGTACTTGATATACCGGGAAGGACTGGTGGCTTTTATAGCATTACATTAGTGTCTCTGGAGCCGGGCTTTGTGGCACATTCCTATGTCAGCAGAGTTCAGGGTCATCTATTGCTACCAGTTTGAGGCCAGCCTAGACTACACGGAACCCTGTCTCAAACAAAAATTAATGTCTCTGTGCCATATACTATCAGGAGAAGCCTAAATAGCAAGCTATCATCTAAGAGAAGAAATTTGGGGAAAAAAAATGCATATATATACACATGCATATATCACATTTTTATATATATGTATAATGAAGTATATAATAATACATATAAAACACATGCTATATATAATTGTCTTCAACAGTTAAGATAGGTAATCAAGTTTAAAATTTATTTTTTTAATTGATGTGTACGTGTGTATTTCTCTGGACTTCATGTGTGAGCAGTTGGGTGAAGAGGGTGTCAGATCCTCTTTCAGAGGACCCCAGTTTAGTTCCTAGCAACCACGTGGTGGCTCACAACCATTTAATTCCAGCTCCAGGGGATCCAAACTCTCTTCTTGCTTCTACATACACATGGTGCACATATATGCACGCAGGCAAAACACAAATAGAATCAAAATCAATCAATCAATCTTTTAAAAGACTGGGTTTAACCACTGAGCCATCTCTCCAGCACTACTTGTTCTTCCTCCAAAGGTCCTGAGTTCAATTCCCAGCAACCACATGATGGCTCACAGCCATCTGTAGTGAGATCTGGTGCCCTCTTCTGGCCTGCAGGCATACATGCAGACAATACTGAGAATACTGCATATTAAATAAATTAATAAATAGATCTTTTAAAAAAATAAAATAAAAATAAAAGACTGGGTTTGCAAGGATGCACACACACACACACACACACACACACACACACACTTCTCCAAAATTGTCTTCAGATGCCTGGATGCTGTGTGGGCTGATTTCTGTTGCTCTTGCCCCATGTCTTCCACATAGATCGGTCTCCTTATCTCTGCCTGTCATGGTTCTTCCTGTCCCCCAAGCTTGGTTAAAACTTTTGCTGATGAGATTCTTTTTTATTTTTGCTTTGCATTTTTTCAGGACAGGGTTTCACTGTGTGGCCCTGGCTCTCCTGGAACTCATTCTGTAGGCAGGCTGACCTCGGACTCCGAGATCCGCCTGCCTCTGCCTCCCCAGTGCTGAGATACTCTCTTCTCACTTCCAGGTTGGGAATTTCTTTCGCCTACTATGGGGTTATCCTGGCCAGCGCGGAGTTGCTGGAGCGGGATCTGGTCTGTGGTTCGAAGTCGGAGTCAGACCCAGAGGTGGTGGTGACCACGGGGGACTCAGAGGAGAGTCTCAGCCCCTGCTATTGCCACCTGTTCGCACCCTCTGACTACAGGACCATGATCATCAGCACACTCGGGGAAATTGCTTGTAAGATCGCCCGCCCATCTTCCCCGTTTCAGGCAGGGTTCCTGCAGCTCAGGGTCAAAGGGAAGTGTGACCTTGAGGCGAGGCCCCTGCCTAGTAGAACTCCAAGGGTCTTCAGATCAGGCTGCTACACCCTCAGTTTGGGTTGTTGTGGGAAGGAAAACCGGAAAGAGCAAAGCTTTGAACTGTTCCATTTCATCAGTACATTTTAGTCTGGAGTGGTGCGCACCTTTAATCCCGGTGCTCAGGTAGCAGAGGCAGGTGGACCTCTGTGAATCCTAGGCCAGCCTGACCTATGTTATGAGTTCTAAGACAGCCCGTGCTACATCCATAGTTTAGCCCCTGTCTCAAATGAAATTATATATTTATTTTTGAGATAATTCTCTTTCCTTCCCCAAACTCATACACTCAAATTCATGGCCTTTTAAAAATGTTTATTTTTTTTTTAACAGCAGACTTCCTTTCTCCCCTAGCTCTTACAGCCTTTCTGCCCTCCTCCACAGTGACCTCTGAACCTTAGGTGCAGGAGTTGTTTTATAGATGCAGCTGGTAGGGACTTATATTCCACCTCAAGGGCAACAATATAGCCTATAATGTATTATCGTTGGATCCAATTTTTCTATGATCTGATCTTTTTTGTATGACTTGATAGTCTCTTGTCTGATCCTGACCAACCACTCAAAAGAGAGCCCCTCGTGGCTGGTGTTAGGGTTTGGTTAGATGGTGTACAGCTCTTGGGAAAGCATTGTCAGCCCAGATGGCGACGCTTGATTTAAACTATATCTGGAAATTTATGCATCAACCTACATGTATTATAGGTATTTTTAGGTAGATAGATAATAGTATGTTTTTTATGACTTTTTCAGATATTATTACTGTATTTCACCCTCTTCTTTCATCCTGTATTTAATATACTTCCTCTCTCTAATGATTTCATTTTAATGTGTTTTTAGACATTATTATTATTATTTATTTTTTGAGACAGGGTTTCTTTGTGTAGCCCTGACTGCCCTAGAACTCACTTTGTAAACCAGGTCTTGAACTCACAGAGATCATTCTGCCTCTGCCTCCCAAGTGCTGAGATTAAAGGCGTGCGCCACCACTGCCCGGCTAGATATTTATTTTATGTGTATGACTATTTTGCATGACTGTGTGTGTGTGCACCCTGTGTATGCCTGGTGCCCTCCTTCTAGGTGAGAAGAGGGTGTCTGAGCCTCTGTAGCTGGAGTTATTAATAGTTGTGCGCCACCATGTGGACGGGTGCTGGGCCTAGAATCCAGGTCGCCCTCTGCAAGAGCAAGTGCTTTCAACTGCCGAGCCATCCTCAGCCTGTCTCCCTAAGTCCGCCCCTGCCGCGTTTTCTCATTTCCCCTTCAGATCCCTTGTAATTCCCTCTCTGTTGTTCTCCCCACCTCCACAATAGCTGGTTTTTGTTTTTGATGTTGTTGTTTTTGCTTTCCTGGTTTCTGCCGTTTCTTCGGGTTATATACTGACATCTGATGGTTTGGGGCTGGGAACCTCAGATGAGAGGGAGCATGGATGCTTGCCTTCCTGGGTCTGGTCGCCTCACTCTGTGCTCTTTCCTAGTTCCATTCACTGACCGGGATAAACCCTGGAGCAGAATGTCCAAACACATAATAACTAAAATGGGCACATCTTACAATGACTTGTTAGATTTCAGTTGGCTGCACTGTTTTTTTGGTTTTTTGTTTTTCTCCCAACAAAAATGATGGCCCATTAAAAAAAAAGCCAGTGTGACTGGGGATGTAGCAGAGTTGTTTAAATCCCCAGGACTGTGTGAACTGGGTGTGGGGGTGTGGTGTGTGCCTGTAATCCCAGTGCTCAGAAAGTGGATGCAAGAGGATCAGAAATTCAAGGTCAGCCTTAGCTGAATTTGAGGTCAGGGATATAGGAGACCCTGTCTCAAAAAATAAATAAATAATACTATAAAATAAAAAATAAAATGAATCAAAGGGCCAAGGCCAATTGGCACAAGCTTACATAGTGAGAATCTCTCAAAAACAAAAAAATCAGTAGAGCCTTGAATTCAACGGGCAATGGTATAATGGCATTTAGTTCTAGCAAACTGGCAGTTTGCAAAGTGGTAGATAAAGCAATGAAATAAAGCTAGGCATGGTGGCACATGCCTATAATCCCAGCACTTGGAGGCAGAGGCAGGAGGATCTCTATGAGTATGAGGCCAGCCTGGTCTACAAAGTGAGTTCTAGGATAGTCAGGACTACGAAGAGAGACCCTATATCAAAAACTTAAAAAGTAAAAAGCCCTTAATGTGTAAGCAGTGTTAGTCGCTCATGAGGAAGAAGCACATTCAAGAAGTCGCAGATCCCATGACAGTGTGCCTGGTTCAGGGAATGGCAGGAGGGGTCCCGCTGGGGTCTACGGTATCACTTGTGCTCCAAGTGTCACCACTGTGGTTGTTGTTTGCTTCCTAGTGAACCCTTTAAACATCCTGGGCATCAACTTCCTGGGCAGACGGCTGAGCCTGTCCATCACCATGGGATGCACGGCTTTGTTCTTTCTTCTCCTCAATATCTGCACTTCAAGGTACTCACCCTTGGCCTGCTTCCACACGGCGGTTGTGCAGTGGTTATCAGGTGGGACTTCCTGAGTCCTGGGGATCAATGGAGAGTAGAGGCTGTCCATTAGACCGAGAGGCCTATCCCTCTCCTCTCCCCTGCCCTGCCTCCCTCAGCTGTCAGGAGATGTGGCTAAGTACCAGGATGCTCACTTTACACAGAACTTCTTGGAGAACTGGAAAGCAGCCGTAGGGTTTTTGTTTTCTGGACCAACATGAGCTATTCTGGTGACACAGACGACATGTATCTGAAGGCTGGGAAAGTAGTTCTGTGGTGGAGGACTTGCCTCAGATAACAAGTCTCATCTCCCATGGCAACCCTGCAGTACTCAGAGCAATGATATGGCTGACTCTTGAGCTGTGAGTTCTACACTCACAGGCCATCTAAGCACAGAGTAAAATTTAGAAAAGGTTTTATCCCAGACAATGAAAACAAACTGCATCTGTATAGAGCATGCGGTGCTCACTAATTTCATGTCAACTGGACACAAGCTAGAGTCATCTGAAAGGAGCCTCAGTTGAGATAATGCCTCTGTGAGATCCGGCTGTAGGGTATTTTCTTCTTTTTTTAAATATTTATTTATTTATTATGTATACAATAGTCTGTCTGTGTGTATGCCTGAAGGCCAGAAGAGGGCACCAGATCTCATTACAGATGGTTGTGAGCCACCATGTGGTTGCTGGGGAATTGAACTCAGGACCTTTGGAAGAGCAGGCAGTGCTCTTAACCTCTGAGCCATCTCTCCAGCCCCTCTTCTTTTTTAAATAGTTTTATGTTTTATTATAAAATGAATGTATATTTTGACTCCTAATATTTATTATATTGATATTTTATAAATAATTTAGACTTAAAATTACTCAGATAGGGTATTTTCTTAATTAGTGATTGATGTGGGAGGGTCCAGGCCATTATGAGTAGTGCCATCCCGGGACTGGCAGTCTTGAGTTTTATAAGAAAGCAGGCTGAGCAAGTTGCACCCCTCCATGGCCTCTGCATCAGCTCCTGCATGCAGGTTCCTGTTTTGTTTGAATTCCTGTCCTGACTTCCTTTGGTGACAGACTACCATGTGGAAGTGTAAGCCAGATAAACTATTTCTTCCCCATGTTGCTCTGGTCATGGGCATTTCATCACAGCAATAGAAACCCCAAGACAGCCAGGCAGCGGTGGTGCATACCTTTAATCCCAACACTCAGGAGCCAGAGGCAGGCAGACCTCTGTGAGTTTGAGGCCAGCCTGGTCTATAAGAGCTAGTTCCAGGACAGGCTCCAAAGCTACAGAGAAACCCTATCTTGAAAAAAAAAATTACTAGATTACCTATAATCCCTAGCAAAAAGTAAATGTAGCGGTAAACAGTTGTTTGATGTTGAAGGAGCAATAACACACAGAAAATAAGAGGTTGTGTGGTACCCAGACCCAACTGACTCATTACAACACAATTTCTGGGGCTCAGTGTGGAAAAGGAGTCAGGAAGATCTTAGAGAGTTTGCTGTGAGTGTCTCCTAGAAATGCCAGAGAGGCTGTACCCAAAGGTATGCACCACCACCGCCCAGCCAATCTAGTGCTTTAAAGAGAGGGCTCAGCAGATAAGAGCATTTGCTGCTCTTGTAGAGGATCCACACTGGGTTGCCAGTGCCTTCAGGATGCTTCACCACCACCTGATTCTCGTTCCAGGGGAGCCAATGCCCTGTCCTGACCTTCTAGGCACATACATGGTATAATACGTACATATAGGCTAAGGAATTATACTCATAAAATACCTTTTCCAACGCATGTGCCTGTCTGGGAGCATCAGGTCTGAATGCCCCCCTTGGGTGGATTGTGAGGAAACAGGCTTGAGGATGTCATGGTCAGGCCAGTTAAGAAGCAGCATCTTGCCGAGGCTCTGGGCTTTGTGAAGGGCCTTCTGTGTCTCTGACTACGACCTCCTCTGCTTCCTCCTCAGTGCCGGCCTCATTGGCTTCCTCTTCATGCTGAGAGCCCTGGTAGCAGCAAACTTCAACACCATCTACATTTACACTGCTGAGGTGAGCACTGGGGAAGGGCATGGCTACATCAGGGCACGCCAGGGGAGCTGCCAGTCTGTGGGGAATGCATCCCTGACTTTGGTTAACCTTTGACAAGTTTCTTAAATGGTGAAATTCGTTGAAAATGACACGAGAGAGCTTGATATGGATCTTTGCTTTCCCATGTAGTCTCTGAAAGAGAGGGCCTCCTGCCTCTCAAGTGAAAGCGGGTCGTTAGTTTAACTTGTCACTGTACAGAAGCCCGAAATAATTTATGGAAGGGAAGATCTATCTTAGTTCGGCTTCAGTTGTTCTGGTCCATGACTGGCTGGCTTACCTCTGGTCTGTAGCGGAGGCACCATGGTTCAAGGGTTTGGGAGAGAAAAGCTGGCCACCACGCAGCAGTCAGGAAGCAAAGACGGACCAAGAAGGAACCTGGGCTAAGATCCACGCTCAAAAGCACATGCCCAGCAGCCACTTCCTCTAACCAGGCTTCGAAGTTCTTCCTTCCAATAGTCTGTTTGAATGTCGAGTCCATTAGTGGGTTAAACAGTTGGTTAGGGAGGTTCTCATCTTTCCACCCTTTAGTAAGGGAAACAGTTCTCAATCCAAATATGTTGACGTCAAAATCAACCATCATGGGGCTGGTGGGATGGCTCCTTGAGGAAAGGCACTTGCTGCCCAACACGACATTCTGAGTGGAATCCCTGAGATTCACATGGAAGGACAGTTCGGCTCCTGCAAGTTGTCCTCTGACCTCTACACATGCACCATGTCATGCATGCATACTCCCCCCCCACACACACAGGAGAAATGGATAAATGTAACTTTTTAAAATTCAAAACTATATACGGAAGACAATGAGCATCTTCTACCCATCTACAAACACAGAAGCCTGAACTAGGGAGGGAAGGGAGGAAGAGAACCCTGGGAAGAAACGTGACCAATGGGTGTTCTCTATGCCTCTCCTCTGCAGGTCTACCCTACTCAGATGCGCGCTCTGGGGATGGGAACCAGCGGTTCCCTGTGCCGCATTGGAGCGATGGTCGCGCCATTTATATCCCAGGTACACTGAACCTGAGTGGGTGGGCAACAGGGACCCTAGAAAGGGTATATAACAAGGGTTTCTACTTTATTCGGGACATGAATATTTAACAGCCTATAGACTGATTCAGAGTTAAACCTTTTGCTGGGCTTGTCAGCCAGGATGGACTATGGGAAAACACGAGAGTACCGGGATTTGCGTGGGGTGAGGAGTCGGGGGTAGAACAGTACGGCAGAGCCTAGACACAGGGAGGTGGGGCTGGCTCAAAGTCTGGAACAGGCTGGGATACGGGGGACCTGGCACCATGTGACAAGAAACGGAGAACCCAGGCTAATGCGGTGGCCCACAGGGTCATGGAGGGGTCTGCTGTTTGTCCTTTGCTCTGGTCATCCTTTTGGCCACAACAGAACTCTGCCTTGTTCTTCCTGCTATAGAAATAGGAAATGGGCCTTGGGTCCTGTAGTGCCTCATCGGCTGTGGGAACCTAGGAGGAAACCAGGCCCTGTCCGGTTTTTCTGGGGCTTGAGATCACCTCCCCATCTGACCCCCTGCCGCCCCCACACCCAACATGCAGGCTCTATTTGCTCCCTGTGTATGGGGCGCTCTCAAGAGTCCTAAACATGACTTTGGCATTGCCCTGGAGTTGGTTGGTCTATGTCTGAGTCACATGATCAGGAGTCAGAGCTTCAAACAGTTCCATCTGAGGGCAGGGAAGAGGGGCACTTCCCAGGGAAAAGTCATATGGGCAAAGTGGACGCTTCCTATCTTTTAACAGAAAAATTTTTGGGGGGCTACAAAGGGTTTTTGTTGTTTGTTTGATTTTTTTTTTTTTTTTTTCAAAACAGAGCTTCTCTGTATAGCCCTGGATGCCCTGGAACTTGCTTTGTAGACCAGGCTGGCCTCGAACTCGTGGAGATCTGCCTGTCTCTGTCTCCTGAGTGCTGGTGTTAAATGTGTGTGCCATCAACTGCCCCACATTATGAGTTTTTAAAAACTCTCTTGAAAATGTTTCTTGTCTTAAAAATGGTGCTACTTTTGTCTTGAATTGTTGCTTTTTAAAATTCCTTTTTATGCTGGGCAGTGGTAGAATCAGAGGCAGGTGGGTTTCTGTGAGTTCAAGGCCATCCTGGTCTATAGAGTGAGTTCTAGGATAGGCTCCAAAACTATACAGGAAAACCCTGTCTCGAAAAAAAAAAAATCCACCTATTTCATCCGTCTCAGAGAAGAGCCTACCAGGGGAAAGGGAAGTAAAACACCCACCTGTCCCTTGTAAGCAGACAGACTAGGTTTCTCTCCCCAGGACTGTGGGGATGGAGTCTCTGGGTTCTTAGTTCCCTGTGCCTATTCTCCCTAGGGACATGGGACTATTTATGTGACAGGCCACATTGCTTCTAGGGGCCTTGGCAATGGTCAAAAAAGATCACAATTTGGGCCGAGTCCTGAGGGTTCTGTTCTGCTTGACATCCTGGGCATAAAGTGGCTCCTGACTCTGGGTGGCTTCGCTCATCCTTCCTGTGCCTCCCACATTCTAAAGCAGAGACGAATAAGAGCACATTTGCATAGGTTTGTTCGGATGATGAGACCATTTAAATGCAAAGCATCGAGACACACACACACACACACACACACACACACACACACGACATAGCATTTGAGAGACATTATATAATGATGCCAATCAAGGCCAAATGCTACTCAGATAAATACGTCTTGTTAAGAAAATACTTTTGTGACCACCGACAAATCCTTTATTGTTAAAGCAAATAGTGGCTGCAAAGGTTGAATAGACTAGACAAGATGAGCTCTGAGCATGGAGGTCCAGGAGACAGTACTCTTACTGCCTGGAACGCCATCTGTAATGGCCACACAGATACCAGGGTCAGCTTCCCAAGACAGATCTGTTGGCAGAGAAGCATGATGGCAGATGTGTCCTGAGAGCACACATCTGTTTCCATCTGTAGATGCATCCTTCATTGTCTTCGTACGGAGTGATTTTCCTGGCGAGGAAATACTTTAATTCTCCTCATGCTATAGAACCCCAACAACATGCACGCTGCTGGGTTTGGGTACTGGAACTAGCTTCGACTACCTTGTGTTCATTATTTTTATTTTTTTGCCTTTAATGAACTATGGTGGGGGAGGGAACGAGGAGAAGGAGGGGACACGAAAATAAGAGAAACAGAAGCACTTTAAATCGAGCCCAGTACAATGAGCCACTATTCAGTTTGTGTGCTTTGCTCCCTTAACCGGTCTGAATCAGGAGAATTTAAGTCTGGGAAGCTTCACGCCCACTCCTACAGCATTGCCTAGATTCTCACAGAGTGAGCTGTTTCAAGGCTTTCCTTGGTGATAACTCAATCTTAGGTGACAGCTGTCCATCTTAGTGCTTATCAAGATTACTAGGGTAGCATTATAATGTAGACATTCCTGGGCTTTGCCCAGAGATGCAGACGGTAGAGATGGGACCCACTACCTGCACTTGTAAGAACCCACAGCTGAGTCAGCTGCTCTGTGAGCCGTCCTGAGAGAGGCGGTCCCATCCATGGGGAGGGTGCTGATTAGGAGCTGCTTTGCCTTTCACCCAGTTCTTTCTCTTCTGATTTCCTACAACTGGAATGAGTTAAAGTGAGAACTTTACAGGACTAGAGGCATAGTCCTGTTTAGCATGCTTGCTGCTCTTTGGAGTTCAGACCCAACATCCATATCAGGTGGCTGACAACTGTCTGTAGTCACAGCTATGTGATACCTGATGCCCTCTTTTGGACCCCTCTGGTACTGCACACATAAAGTGCCCCCCCCCCCCGCCCCTACACATGCACACACACATAAAATAAAGGTATTTTAAAAATAAACCCCATATACATTAGTTAGTAATATGTTTACATAATCTAAAGACTAATGTATAAAGTTTAATTCAATTGAATCTTTTTTTTTTTTTCAAGACAAGGTTTCTCTGTGGAACAGCTCTGGCTGTCCTGGAATTTATTCTGTACACCAGGCTGGTCTCAAACTCACAGATTCACCTGCCTCTGCCTCCCAACTGCTGGGATTAAAGGCATGTGCCACCACCACTACAGGCCTGTTTTGTTTAAATGCATTTTTAAATAAAATGTTTTGAGGTATCTAGTTGTTAAGAAATGAACTTAAGGGCGGTGGTGGCGCACGCCTTTAATCCCAGCACTCGGGAGGCAGAGGCAGGCGGATCTCTGTGAGTTCGAGGCCAGCCTGGTCTAGAAGAGTTAGTTCCAGGACAGGAACCAAAAGCTACGGAGAAACCCTGTCTCGAAAATCAAAAAAA